CTGGATCAGCCTAAAACCACGACAATCACATAGAGCCTCCCATTCCAATTTATAGGCATTCTCCCTTGTTCACTTGCCATGTACTGCAGTAAAGTGCCTGACTCCTCCTTCTTGTTGACTTCCTTCTGGCTGTTGGAAGGCTATTGCTTTGTACTCTCTAAGCTGGACAAGCCCAGTTCTTTCAGCCTCTCCAATTATGTGTTGGTGATCAGAATTTGTCTTATTATTGGAATATCTTGTGATATTTTATAATTTTTATGCAAATTCTATGCATAGGTAGCATTTTTTTCTGTTTTTATGAGACTTGTTCTCTTAAATATTTAAAGGAGCCTTTACCAGCCTTTAGAAATACTGATCTGTAAGTCTAGCAATTTTTTTATATCACGTTCTCCTGATGTTACAGTAAAGAGGAGGATCAGAAAATTTGTATTTTGCTTATAAATGTGAAGCAGACATTGTTTTTCATAACTGTCTTTTGCCAGTAGCTCATCCAAATACCTGAGAGTCCTGTCCACTTCTGATAAACTGAGCTTCATCTGTAACAATAATATAATTATTTTGATAGTAGCAAAGAAAAAGAAGGTAGACTTAAACACACTATAAAATGCACAAAATAAAGATATCTAATGAAATCAGAACGTAATGGTGAAAGATATGACTTGTAAGAAACACAAGTTATTTGTTCATCAGTTTTTAAAATACCAAGTAAACTGATACTCATTATATTGTGGAGAAACCTGCATACCAAGAGGGGTTTTCACTGTCAGAAGTAATTTGTATTGAAAAGTTGTATCTGATATGCCTAAAAATAGTCAAATTTAAATCTTTCTTGTTATTTTATGGGTAAGTTTTATATGTGAGTAAGTTAAATTATCCTGTTCTCAGATTGTTCTAGGATCTTTTTATTGTCTATTTATTCAAAATACTATATTTTAATATACGGAGAAGTAAATTATGAGTTAAATTCCTGTTCCTTTTTGTAATGCAACGTATTCCTGTTGTGTTGTTTGGGCTTATCCAAAAGCAAAATTGCATAGTTAGCATCTTTGTAGCAGTTTGTCTTCTCAAATGTTTTTGGGCTTACTAATAAATGCTAGATTCTAGAGGAAGAAATTAATGCTAAATATTACTTACAAATGAAAGTGGGTAGCACGTATGCAGCTAACCACTTTAAACCACTGTGATAACTGGGGAGTTTTTGCATTTTCAATTATTCCTCATAAGTCTGAGTTCTGCATAACTTAAGCTCTCGTTTTCATACAGGCAGAACAACTTCGTCAGCATTATATGAGTAAATCCAATGCAGAAGTTGCAGAAGCCCATCAGGCCTTACAGCCAGTTCTTCAGACCATTCGGGAGCTTCAGAGAAAGGCAAGTACCTCTTACATATTTACTTTCTGAATGTTGAGGTTTTTTTAAATACTACTTGCATGTGTTTATCCAGAACTCCAGCTGTTTATTATCTCTGACAGTTCTTTGAGGGCCTGTTTGGAACGGGACTTCAGCAGTGAGCACGTGTGCGCGCGCACACACACAGAGCCCCAAAACATATCCTGTGTTCCTCGTGTTGAGAGGCAGACAGTACTTGATGAACAGATGACTGAGAACAGAAGTATATGGTGGCATGGTTCCAGTAAAGTTGAACACCATGTTTGATTTTATATTGTGTTTCACTTGTAATTTAGGTAAATAAGTTACAGGTTTTTGACTTTGAAACATTTCTGTGATGTGTCAGATGGAATTTCAATTGCTTTCAAAGGAACTGTTCTTTGATATTCAGTCATTGTGCTTAAGGCTTTATTGTGTTTAGTCAATATGACGATGCAGGTTTCATGGGAAGGTGCAAGCCCTTAACAAATTGATGAACACCTGAGTTGAAATGCTGCTTGTCATTTGCATAATAGTAAAGAAGTATTAAAGAAATGGAGGCAAATGGAACACGAGGAAGTAAACTTCTGCATCTTTTTTCACTGTTTAAAATTACAAGGTGGCTTCAGTGTTGCTCTTCATTAATTTCACAGAGAGCTTGCTTTCTCTGATTAATGATCCTTTCATCTCTTTTTGAGAGAGAGAAGGAGGAAACTTCAAGATTACAATATCTCTATGTGGCTATTGTGTGTAGATGGCCTCAGTGAATCTACTCTACTGAAGCAATTTTAAGACGTGGAAGTAGATGGAAATGTAGAAAATTTCTTGATCATGTATTCACTTAAACACGAAAGAGCGTATTTTTTAAGCATACTCTCATCTTCCATGGAATTTACCAGTCTGTGTTTGAGTGTGGCCTAGAGAGCAGTGTAAGCCTCTGCTGCAATGAGTAGATTGGTTGTTTGTTGAATGTTCATGGATAAACCTGTTCTTTTGCATACAGATACATTCTGGTTCTCCTTGGTGGTTGGATGTCATCCAGACAGCAATACAGTATGCCATCGATGAGGAGCTTGTTCAACGTGTGCAAAACGAAATAGCCTGCAACTACAAACAGCAGATTAATAAACTCTCCATGGCAGAGAAGTAAGAGAATAGCTAAAATAGGCTAATGAATACAGTTAAGTCTGCTCAAGTCCTCTTAACAGTTTGTGCTAACAGCTGCAATTAAATAGCAGGTGTTTTTACTTCAGAGCATCTGGACTGCAATAAAGTTTCAAAAACAGTCCTCCAGAAATCATAACTAGATAGAAGAGAGAGAATTATGGTTTTCTCCTAGACAAGCATTCTTTTAATGTTCCTTTGTATTATCTACTGTGGTTTTACAGTCTTCTGTACTTATAAAACTGTTGAGCAAGAAAGGTTCAAAGTTTATTGGGTTCAAATTGAGTAACCTCTAAAAGAAGCTGACTTGCTTAAATGGAAAGTAGACAGACAATATCAGAAAATCCTTGTGTAACAGCACAAAATAGCATCACTGTTTTTCTGAGCAAAGAATTTTGGTCTGATTTCATGTTAGAGACAACAGTACCATTGTTGTTGTGTGCAATCACAGAATAATGAATTGGAAGGGACATCTGGAGGTCGCCTAGACCAGCCCTTGACTTCTAGATCCAGGCCCATGCTCAGAGATTCAACCTTATCATGTTACACAGAAATTTGTCCTGTTGACTTGAAGGAGTGTCTCCAAGGAGGGACATTTCATAGCCTCTATGTAAAGCCTGTTCCAGGGATTGACCCACTTAGTGGCAAAAAAAAAAAAATTAAAAATCCTTCTATCTAGTTAATATTTCCTGTGTTGCATATTGTATCTGTTGTCTCTTGTACTTTCCATCATACGCCTTTGAGAAAAGTTTGGCTGTTTGGCTCAATCTTTGCTGTACCTTCCAGGTAGTTAGATGTAGAAAGCAATAAGGTCTCCCTTGAGCAATCTCATTTTAAGGATGAATAAACCGTTTTCTCTCAGCCTCCTCTTGTACCTTCTGGGCTCAGGCTCCTTAAGTTCATCACAGAAAAGGGAGATACAGGAAGGAGAGTGCTCTCAATGTTTAACTTCAAGCAGTTTTCTCGAATATGTGAACAATCCTTATGTTTTTAAATACAGTCTCTCTGACTCATGTTTTAGGTAAACACATTTTTATTATTTTATATATTAAAAAATAACAAATAGATGTATATAAATGCATATACATATGTATATAAATATCCAACGTGTATATAAAATGTGAGTATAAATTTAAATAATTAAAATATGCACAGATTTCAATTAAATATTTATAGACGTATCCTCCAGTATGACTGTTCTGTTATCATGATCCCAAAAGGAGGCAATTCCTTGCCCTTGCTGGAAGAAAGTGTATCTTTTACTTTTCAGTACTTTATTCTGTTGAATAATATAAATAAAGATACAAAAGTTTACCTCTTCTTTCTTCAAAACTCAGTATTATGCTGAGAAGGAAGAAAGAAATTCTATCTATCCAAAATGGATATTGGGGCCACTCAGCTGGAAAGTAGCTTTGCAGAAAAGGACCTTGGGGTTTCTGGTGAACAGCAAGTTGACCATGAGCCAGTGATACGCCCTTGCAGCAAAGAAGGCTAGTGGTATCCTGGAGTGCATTAGACAAAGTATTGCCAACAGGCCGAGGCAGGTGATACTTTCTGTCTACTCAGTGCTAGTGAGGCCATGCCGAGAGTACTCTGTGTCCAATTCTGGGCTCTCCAGTGCAAGAGAGAGATGGATATACTGGAGAGTCCAAGAAAGGACCAAGAAGGTGATGAAAGGACTGGAGCATCTCTCCTGTAATGAGAGGCTGAGAGAGCTGGGACTGTTCAGCAACTCAGGGGGATCTTCTCAATGTATATAAATACTTAAAGAGAGGATGCAAAAAAGATGGAGCCAGGCTCTTTTTAGTAATGCTCAGTGACAGCACAAGAGGCAGTGGGCACAAACTGAAACACAGGAAGTTCCCTCTGAACATCAGAAAACACTTTTTTTACTGTGAGGGTGACTGAGCGCTTCCACAGCTTGTCCAAAGAGATTGTGGAGTCTCCATCCTTGGAGATACTCAAAAGGCATCTGGGCATGGTCCTGGGCAACCAGCTGTAGGTGACCCTGCTTGAGAAGAGGGGTCGGACAAGACAACCTCCAAAGGTCTCTTCCAACCTCAACCAGCCTATGATGAGTCTGTGATATGAACGTTTTGTGGTTAAGTGGTATTTGAGCACAATGGCATCTCATTCTCCTCAAAATAAATTTGAGGAAAAGGTTGTTTGCATGTTCAAACTGAGCTCATATGCCTGTGGGGCTATCTGTATGCTTGCCTGTGTCATACTGGAAAAAAAATTGATTTTTTTTTTCATACTTGAAATTAGCTATTTAGGAAGTATCTTTTAAAATTTTTGCTGCTTACAGGTTGTATAACTTTGGACAAGCAATCTGTGACTTGAACTGTTTATTTTATAAAATGGGGATACAACTTATTTCCTTTTAAGTTTATTTTAGCATATGCAATAAAAACTTAAAAAACGGTGTTTTATGAAGTATTACTGATCAGTAGTGGAAACAAAAAGTGCTAATCTCTAGTTGAGTATTAGAGATGGCCAATCCAGGGTATAGTGTGGGAGATTTTCATAAACCTGGAGTATTTGGCAGCTGACAGTATTAACAACAGGCTTGTGATTGAAATTTACATGTATTTTTAAGACTGCCTGGTTAGGCAAGCTAGTCTATTTTAAAATACATATTGCTTAAGTAGATCATTTTAAATGCCAAACTTTTTTAGTGTTGTCAAACCTGTGCTTTTCTTTCCACATTTTTAAAAAGGGATGTTTTGGATTAAACTTTCCAAATGGGAGTAGAACTGCAGTCTTTTAATACACTGTCTTGTATGTGAATTTCAGCCCTTGTACAAATGATGCACTCTCAGCAAGGGGCCTCTGCTTACAGGAAGAATGCAATATGGGAAGTGTTTAACTGGTGTTCATGTTCCCACTCCAATCACGAAAGACAGCTAGGTTTTAGGAAAATATTTCATTGTAATGTCTGTTCAATAATTTTTATGTTGAAAGCTAACTTGCAAAATGCAGTATATTTTTGTGATGGATGCATGTGTCTGCTGTGAATTGCACAGGTGCATTGAAAATCAGTTTGTTGGCCAACGGCAGCAAATAAGACTATAGCATGTGTGGTTGTTTACCTTTAGTAGATTTGTGTTGTGGACCAGAATGTTTCAGGTTGGTGTTGACCACTAATATTTGGTCACATCTCACAAGTCTTGGAAAGAGTCTTTTTATTCTACAAATACCAGGCATCATCTTGGGGGATACAATGGATGATTTCTAACAGTTACCATTACATGTAGTAGTAATAAGCATTTGCTTATGATATGAACTTCATATGTTGTCCTATATTGCTATGTAGCTATTTCTCTTCTACTTCAAAATACTGAATTAAATTTGGATTCAGTGCCTCAGTGTGCAATTAACTGCTTTTTTCCTTAAATCAGATTCCGTGACTGCAGAGGCCTTCAGTATCTGCTCACAACACAGCTGGAGGAAGTGAAGAAGTTCCAGAAGATTGTAAGAGAAGCAGTGAAAAACTTAGAAGGCCCTCCCTCTAAGCAGGTTATTGAGGCTGCCACTATCTGCCATTTGCGACCTGTTAGACTTCCACTTAACAAGTATGTCTTGAAAATAGAAAATATACTTTAAAGGTGTATTATTATTCACTTTTTTCATTTGAAATAAGAAATTAAAGTCTTTATTCTGTACTCAGGGTTTGCATGCACACAGATATTGTGTGAGAATTGGGCCAGTGCAAACTGCATGAGCTTCAAGAAGACAAAATGCAACGTCCTTCACCTGGGTCGGGCCAATCCTAGGCACAAATACAAACTGGGCACAGAGTGGGTTGAGAGTAGCCCTGAAGAGAAGGATTTGGGGGTGTTTATAGATGAGAAGCTCAACATGAGCTGGCAGTGCGCTCATGCGGCCCAGAAGGCCAACCGCATCCTGGGATGTATCAAGAGAAGCGTGGTCAGCAGGTCAAGAGAGGTGATTCTCCCCCTCTAATCTGCTCTTGTGAGACACCACCTTGAATACTGCATCCAGTTCTTGTGTCCCCACCATAAGAGAGACATAGATCTGTTGGAGCGTGTTCAGAGGAGGGCCACAAAGATGATCCAGGGGCTGGAGCACCTCTGCTATGAGGACAGGTTGCAGGAGCTGGGATTGTTCAGCCTTGAAAAGAGAAGACTTCGGGGGGATGTAATAGCTGCCTTCCAATACCTGAAGGGAACTTACAGGAAGACTGGGGAGGGACTTTTTACAAGAGTGTCCACTGATAGGACAAGAGGAAATGGGTTTAAGTTGAAGAACAGATTTAGATTAGATCTTAGGAAGAAATTCTTCAGTACGAGGGTGGTAAGACTTTGCAATAAATTGCCCAGAGAAGTTGTGGATGCCCCCTCCCTGGAGGTGTTCAAGGCCAGGTTGGACGGAGCCTTGAGTAGCCTGATCTAGTTGAGAGGCTTCACTGCCCTTGACAGGTAGGTTGGTTTAGATGATCTCTGGGGTCCCTTCCAGCCTATGCCATTCTGTGATTCTATGATATCACAGATCCATTTGTTAGAATCATGACCTTTGGTTTTATTCTTACAGAGTCTTTTCCTGTCGGTTATTATATCATGTGTACATAAGACTGTTAAATTGTTCTTTTTTAAGGACTTTATGTGGTTTTATATGTTGGAATAGAGAATTACAGGAATTACTTTGGTTTCTGATTAAATTCTGAGTGCTTCTGTTTTCAATCTTCTGTATTGCAGCTGTGTCTTTTGTAAGGCTGATGAGTTGTTCACAGAATATGAGTCGAAGCTCTTTTCTCATACGTAAGTTCATAGCTTTATAAACTTCTCGCTATAAAAAAGTGAAATTTGGATTGGTTTATATTTTCTTCTTTAAGTTTTCTGAAATAACTTCATGAACAAATTTCAGCAACTTCTTGCTAGTAACCTTGATAGCAATTTTGTTAGTCAAGTTTAATTTTCTATGTAAGTTTCATTTGAAAAAGTTGTGCACAAGGAATGAATACATGCCACTTTTTCTCAAGCTGCTGTAATATGACCATGCATTTGAAATGGAGCGTTGAAGTGTTCAGAAAGTGTGTGTATGTAAATAGAAGTATGCTAATTAAAAGCATATTCCTGTTTGTGCAGATACTTATTTGCAGTCCAGTTGCAAGTCGTACTATACTATACTCGTTCATAGATTATTTTTTTTAATTCTATGTAGTTCATAAAGTAAAAAAATTTGACTAAAGCTACCATGAGAGAGAAGATTTCAGACATGAATGCGGCTGTGAACTGAAGGGTTGTACCAGCACATGGTGTGAGAGAAGTATGCATAGTGGACAGTACCGAGAGGCATAGATTATAGCCCTCTGCATGCTCACTGTTTGACTTTTATCTCATATCCCTTACAATGTCAAAATTGGATTTCTAACTGAGAAAACATTTTGAAAAGTCTTTACCAGTGGGAGGTCTGCTAACCTAATGATTGCTGGAATCATTGGGAAACGTTAGTGTGTTTCTGAATTAGCATTACTTGTCAAGGAAGGGACTGGGAAGCTATAGTGTTCTTCAGTAGCACAATACACAGCAAATTTTGCATCAGAGTTTAGCTTCAACTCTTGCTGATTTAAGAATTCAAAATTGCAGTTTTTTAAAATAAATATGACGTTAATCATTAATAACTTCTGAAAGATAATTAAGATGCATAAGCCTTTATAAAAGCTATTGATGATTTTGAGCTGACAAAATGGCCTGTACAGTGATTTCATTTGCTGGTACTGAGGTCTCTGTGTTCAAGCAAGCCTTTGGGATATCAAGTAATAAAACAGCTGTTTATATTTGGTTTGCTTTATCCTTTAATCAAATATCGGAAGACTGGAATATGTGGAGAATAAGTAGAAATGGATGTGGAAATACAAAATCAGTGATACGTTTCGTGTTGGGTTTGTTTTTAAGTGTTAAAGGCCAAATGGCAATATTTGAGGAGATGATAGAAGATGAAGAAGGGCTTGTTGATGACCGTTTGCCCACCACAAGTAGAGGACTGTGGGCAACCAGTGAAACTGAACGTGCCTTGAAAGCTCTTCTCTCCTTTGCCAAAGCTCACCGAATGGATGTTAAGCTAACCGAAGAAGGCAGTGTATTTCTGGAACTCTTTGAAGCGTGGAAAAAGGAATATAAGGTACAGTAAATTAGATGATGATGAAACAGTTGTGTAGTCTGTTTAGTGTAATATGAACAAATTTAAGCCGAATATGAACAAATGTAAGTTGTATTCCTGAAATTAGGGTTTGGCTACACAAAGCTTTTTGACAGTGCTTATTACAGGATTTGATTTTTAAATGGTTAGTATATGATTTAAGAGTTTCTAAAAGCTATACAGGCTACTAAGCAAATAAGTAAGCCATATAATTGTATCTGTTAAGACAGTATACAGATATAATTAAATGTGTTGGCCTGTTAAATCAGAATGTAGCAAGACTCAGCAAATTAAATGTTCGTCCATTCTGTAATTCAGTTTACCTTCAGTCTTGTGCTAGCTACAGGTGTCCTTTCACTATTGCTTTATTTCCTGGATCTTGCTTACCACACAATGCAACCTGAAATAGTTATCCTCCTGTTCTTTGGATCGAAGAGGACTACAGGAGTTCACAGTAGCTTTCGCTATGCGTGCTTGTGTGCCTATGTTTGTTTGCAGTGAACGCATACCAGTGGTGGAGAAGAGGGAAGAGCTGTTGCACACAGGGTCCTGTCTTTTCTTTCACCTTAGGTGTAATCAAAAATGTTTTCTTTTGAATGCTTCTCCTTGTCATTTTTAATTAGCACATACTTAGCTTCATGTGAACCTTGTGAAGCTCAACAATGCCAAATGCAAGATCCTGCACATGGGTCAGGGCAATCCCAAGCTGGGTGGAGAATGGATTGAGAGCAGCCCTGAGGAGAAGGACTTGTGGGTGCTGGTTGATGAGAAGCTCGACATGAGCCGGCAATGTGTGCTTGCAGCCCAGAAAGCCAGCTGTATCCTGGTCTGCATCCAAAGAAGCACTGCCAGCAGGTTGCGGGAGGGGATTCTGCCCCTCTACTCTCCTCTAAGGAAACGCCATCTGGAGCACTGCATGCAGCTCTGGGGCCTCCAATATAAGAAGGACATGGAGCTGTTGGAACAAGTGCAGAGGAGGGCCACGAAGATGATCCGAGGGCTGGAGCACCTCTCCTATGAAGATAGGCTGAGAGAGTTGAGGTCATTCAGTCTGGAGGAGAGAAGGCTCTGGGATGATCTTATAGCAGCCTCCCAGTACCTGAAGGGGGCCTACAAGAAAGCTGGAGAGGGGCTTTTGACAAGGGTATGTAGTGATAGGACAAGGGGCAATGGCTTTAAACTGAAAGAGGGCAGATTTATTTACATTAGATATAAGGAAAAAATTCCTCACTCTGAGGGTGATGAAGCACTGGAACAGGTTGCTCAGAGAAGTTGTGGACGCCTCATCCCTGGAAGTGTTCAAGGCCAGGTTGGATGAGGCTTTGAGCAATGTGATCTAGTGAAAAGTGTCCCTACCCATGGCAGGGGGATTGGAACTGGATGGTCTTTAAGGTCCATTCCAACCCAAACCATTCTATGATTCTGTCTTAGATTGTCTAATGGAATTGAGTTTGTCTTTGTTTTTCAGCAACCTTGGTTACTCATCACCTACTTTACTCTAATTGATAGTGCTACTTAGGAGTGAGACAATATTATCAATGATTCAAAAATAATGTCAGTTTATATGGATAATATACTTCCAGTTGTAGCCATTTCTTTTGTAGAAAGCCAGAATTTACTTTTTCTTGGAAGAACAGAATCTGATGTTATCTTCACTTTGTGCTTGTCTGTGCCTTTATCAAGACCACTCAAACTCTTAACATTTCTTTAAAACGTACTTCATCTTCAAGAAGCAGTATTAGTAGCTGTTTAAAATTGCTTAATCATATTTCCTTATTTTATTCAGCATTTGCTTAGCTTTGCAAGGCATTTTGTTTCTGAACTTTTAGTTGCATTAGTTATTTCTTCTACAACTATTACTGTTACAATGAGACACAGCTGTTTATAGTTTTTCATAAAGAGAGGCTGGAAAAGAAAGCAGGCAAGACGATATCTATACTGTTAGTTTTCCTTTGTAATTTGTTGTTGTTATGGCTGAATTACTGTAAAGAAATACTATGCTTTACTCCAAAAAGATTTTCACGGTGTATGTTGTATGGCAGAGTCATATAAAGGGAACTCAACTCAGTTCTACTAATTCGTTTGGGCTTTTCTTACAGTTACTTCATGAATACTGGATGGTACTTAGGGATCATGTGTCTGCTATTGATGAACTGGCAATGGCTACAGAACGGCTCAGAGTGCGTCATCCTGATGAACCAAAACCAAATCCACCAGTTCTCCACATCATAGAACCACACGAGGTAAAGTACTTGACAGGAAAGAAATGTGTGAGTTTTTTCCTGAAAGAACCTACCTCCTACAAAAATAAAACCTGTATCTAGATCTGTGTATAAAGTCTGTAGTATGCCTCTGCTTCCATTTCACAAAGCCTTGGTGGAGTAAAGAGTTCCTGTCTATTTCTACATTCAGTATATGGGCCTTTTTGAGCTTGTAACTCTTACTTTGATAAGTTTTTGTCAGCCTTCTGAATGTAAGAGTGACATGTTTCCAAAAGACTACCGTCCTTCCAGCAGCAGGTGAATGGCTCTGGGGCATTTCTGTACAATTGCCCAGTTTTCCAAGCTGGTAGAAAATGAAGTTGACCTGATTTCCTACCCATATTGCTACTTTCCACAAGGACCTACAGCAGTGAAAACCTGAAAGACAAATCTTTTTTCAATATCTGGGAATTTCTGAGCCACCTCTGAAATGCTTTCTGTTCATGAACATAGAGAGAATGCTGGGTTGATTTACCTTTTTAACTTATTTATTTTTTGCACCAATAGAACTATGTTTTAAATATAAACGTTTTGTGCTTTTTTTCAATGAGATTCAGTGTTAGATAAAAATGCTTCTTTTTTTTTTTTTTTTTCTTTAGGGAAATAGATATTTCATCTGTGTATTAAAGCAATTTTTAAAATGGAGCACTTAGACTTTGTTAAACATTTGTTAAGGAAAGATTTGTGTTTGTATTTGCAACCATAAAAGAAACACCCATTACTTTGGTCTTCGTCCTTCCAGTGGTTGCCTCTTCTGCAGTATTAGTAACTACACCACCTAACTGTAATTAATGTAAGAAGGAGTCAGCTTGATATTTCTGTCTTTGTATAGGTTGAATGAAAAGAGAAAGCTTCTAAGAAGTATAAAGAAAGTAATTAATTGTTTCTTAACACAATGTTGTTGGAAGAAGCAGTGAGAGTCTAGGATCTATTTGGCTGTAAGAAAATAGATGATAAATTGAAAGAAATTTGGAAGAAACTTTAAAAAAATTAAGTTATTTTAAATTGGGTTTGTCTCTGGAAAGAACCAAAAATGCAAATAAAACAATGAAGAGCAAGTTTGTATACCTCCTGGGTCTCAGCCTGTTCACAGTACTGTGTTTCCTACTGGGTACAGGAAAGGAGTAGATAGTCAATTTTGCTTGGGGAGAAGCGAATCTTAAGCTTACAGCATGAGCTGTTCTTCTGTCTATCCCCAGCAAAATATTCAGTTGAATTTTGCCAAAAAATGTATTTAAACCTTGTTGTAAAACTTAACTCTTTTTTTTAATATGTGTTTAATGCTTTTTCCGTAGGTAGAGCAAAATCGAGTGAAACTTTTGAATGACAAAGCAGTTGCCAAATCACAGCTTCAAAAGAAATTAGGACAACTTCTGTATCTCACTAATCTGGAGAAAGTAAGGTTTACAGTTCCTTGGTCTTTACCAAAGTGATGAACTCTACTTACCTAGTGGAAGAGACCTACCATTATTTTTATTTAAAACTTACATTTTAAAAAAAGTGTTTTCTGTAAAGATTCATTACATATTGAAATTCAGTGTGGTGTTCTTTGTGTTACTGCGTAGTCATAAAGTTATTTATTACATTATATATTTTGGCTAGTTGCTTAATTACACAGTTATAAAACTGTGAACTAGTTTTAGATGGTTAAAACTTTCGTTACAAATAACTGGACCGTGATTAGGAGAAGCCTGTAAAATTATGTACCTCTCTGCCTACACTTGCTATTTTATGAAGAGCTTACCTTCTTAAACAGAAAGAGAAGCAGGTCTGTAGGTTAAATAAATGTGAAAAAAAAAACCAAAACCAAACCAGACAAACCCCATGTATGTTAAGTTACTTTAATCATAGTGTTCAAGTAAGTACAATTATGCTTAAGTAAGCATAGTTAAGCGTGATTAAGTATATTTATTAAGTCTTTTTACAACAATGTGAAGCCAATAGAAAATTGGAGTTTCTTGTTTGTAGCTTGTGTTTTACTAGGATTTTTCAAAGCTATGGTAGAGATGCAGATGCTGTCTAAAGGACTGCAGTATGAACAGTGCTGCTTTTATTTACCATAAATTAGTATTTTTTTAACTCCTCAAGATAGTTATTTATTCATGAATGATGTGTTTTAATTTGCTCACACTTTTTTTTTTTTAAGGACTTCATGATTCATTTTTTCTAGAACCTTGTTTTAAATATAGAATAACTTCTTAATTGTTGAAACACAGTTTATTTTTTTTCTACTTTAAAGTCTCAGGATAAAACTACTGGGGGAGTTAACCCAGAACCATGTCCTATCTGTGCACGTCAACTGGGAAAACAGGTAAGATATGTAGTCAGCAGGTTTTGTTTTTAAAACGTCTCTACCTAGATCTGAGTCAGTTTTCTCTCAAATTTTCAACATCTGATTTTAAAATAAAATTGTATTGAAACAGGGGAAATAAACCCTTTCCTGTAATGTACCAAGCAGCTTCTCCCCTGAAACAGCATCTTGCTCAGGTGTAAGCACCTCTAGTGCCTTTAGCTGTTGACATCAATGCTTAAGTGTTGCAACAAGTCTTCCAAAAACGTTGCTGATTGTTTTATGACTGAAGTTTTGCTTTCATACTTTTGTCAGAAAAAATTCTTTGCCATTTATAAGCTAATAGAATGAAGAAATAGATAAGCTTCCATAGTACACTGTTGTATTTTACTGTAACTGCTCTTATTGGTAGTATTTTTTTCTTCTAGACTTCAGAGAAATGGATATTAACTGCTTAAACAGTAGTAAAAACCAATAGAATAAGGACTGGCAGTCTGGATTTCTTTCCCTGCTGCTTACCTACTGAACTGCAGAGTTGAAATTTAAATGATTTAATCAAAACTACCTATATCGTAAAGTACAAAGCCATAGTTTATACTTTACTTACCATGCATTAAGTAAAAACATGAAAGGACTTCTGTACAGTCAAACTAAATTGGCTCTTTTTTTAGGGTAGCTATTTTAAGGTGTTTAAGCTTGTTATCTTTATAGACATGTGTAAGCATGAACTGCTGTCCTGCCATGTTTCCAAAATCCCCTCTCTGCTCTTCTTCCAAGGGTGATACAGGTTTTTACAGAGAACAGTTGTTTGCCCTGTTAACTGCCATTATGCTTCATCTCTGAGCTGGAGGAGCTCGCTGAAAGGAAAAATAATATTTTCTTCAACTTCGGAGGAGACTGACACTTTAGATGATAGTAGCCCTCATGTTGCAAGGAGCTTTTAAAATGCTTTCCATCCTGTTTCTGCATGATTAAAGGAACCTTACAAAGCCTAAAAGATCTTTCCCTTGATAATCAGTCGTTTAGTCAATTCCCTCTCTTAGAATGGCCCATGGAACAGACTAGTAGAGTAAGACACTATTTCTAGGTGCAAAAACCCTGGTTTACAAATACGTAATTTGCATATATTTTTTTAAATTATGTAAATACTTAGAATACTTTGCTTGCACATTAAGAATCATCATTCATAGAAATGAAAGACTAATGTCGTTCCTCAAGTTTAAAACTGAAAAAATGAACAATAAATGCAGAGAACTTCTGTGGATCATGAATCTTTCTGTGCTGGAAAACTGAAATCGAGGCTTTTCTGCAGCAGTGGTGCTAAACATTCTAAAATTCTTCCATTTTTATTTGATGAGTTTCATGAAAAGCAAGTAATGTTTCTATGAAAAAGTAGTTTATCATGTATTGGTACCCTGTTATTCTTTTGCATTGATCCGAAACTGATACTATGTTGTGTTGCTTTTTTAATTCCCTGCATAGTGGGCAGTGCTGACATGTGGACACTGTTTTTGTAATGAATGTGTAGCTATCATCATAGAACAGTACAGCGTTGGCACCCGCCGGAGCTCAATTAAATGTGCCATTTGCAGGCAAACAACATCACATAAAGAAATATCATACGTCTTCACTGCAGAAACTGCAAATCAGGAGGATGACATTCCTGTAAAGGTACATTGTTTATATGAGCTTTGCCCAAACTTTCAGCAGTGTGTATTTTTTGTGCTTTATTGCATGCTACATTTAGATAGACAAATCTACCATGTAGTTTTATAAGTAGGTTCTCTTTTATAATTTGTTTTGTTTGTAACAGGTATTGTTCTTTTTCTTTTGAATGGGACACCATGTAGATAGACCTTTCTTACGGTGTAATCAATGTTTTTGCATCCTTCCCCAAGGAAGGATACACGTTTTCCTGTCAAGAAAAGGGTTTTTTGGGGGTTTTTTGTTTGGTTTAGGGTGTGGGGTTTTTTTAACTTATTGTTTTCATAACTTTTCAAGAGTTTTGAAAACAAAACATGAAAGGAAACAGTGTGAAAGAGGATATCTTCTTAACACCTACTCTTTAACTGTGCCTGCAGAAAGGCCTTGTGGATGGATTACAGAATTACACATCTGTTCAAGTAATGCTGTCTTGGAGTGTAGGGGGGAAAGGACAGCTTTTGCTGAGCTTTAGTTATGATTTTTTTTTAAGCATTTGATACTAGGTAGAAATAAATGTTGTTGGTATGCAGGTGATTAGTTAGGTGTTTTGTTTTGGTGGTTTTGGCTTTTTGTAGCTGAGCAGAAATAAGGCTTTTTGGAAGCACAATTTTACTATGTTTGCTTGAAATGAGTAGTCTGAGAAAGCTGCCTGTACCATAAGGCTGTTAGGAAAATGTAAATATTTTAAATTGGTAAGACTTCATTGTTAGCCAGAGAGAACTGGCTAACCGAATCCGCCTGATTCTGAATTTAAGATTAGTCATCTGGAATGTTTCTTGAGCTACCTGAGAAGTAGAGTAGTTGTTTTGCATTTTGCACACCTATATAATGTTATCCGCTGTATGAACCGTAATTTGGAGGAAAAAAACCAACTACTTTTTTAGTAAGGACGAATGAACATTAAAAACCTGAGGGGAGATTATATTTGTGCTTCCGCCACCTAACTTGCTCGCTAATAATCACGCTCTAATGAGTATATTCAGTAACTTGACCCAAAGTTTATTCAGTCATAAATCAAATCACAGCAGAGAAAATAGAAAAATGTTAATATTATTTATCAAAAGCAATGCTTTTCATTGGAACAACAATAATTGAATTTGTTCTCTGGAGAAAAGTTTCTCTGGTGTGATGTTGTAGACGTTCTCTTTTCTCTACAAGTGTATTGTCAATAACGTGGTTGTGAGGCCACTTTCTTCAAGCTCATCCCCAGTTCTTTTGATCTAGTTGTGTGGTGTAAGCTTTTTCTCTGTATTCTAGATGAGCGTTGACTCATACAGCTGGATACTCTGCAAGTATTCTTTCTCGGGTTTTTTGTTTGGTTTTGTTTGAAAAATCCAAACGAAAAATTTGGAATAACTATTAGTGTTTCTTGCCTATCTGCATTTTAAACTTGTTGGTATTTAGTTAAAGCCTTGCTGATGGGATGCATATACGTACTGAAAAGATTATTATTGAATAAAGAGTGATTTTTGGTCTTAAAACAGCTCCCTGCCTGCGCAATTTCTTTCTCGAGGCTTTTCACTGTGTAGACTAGTAGCTGTATTTTCCACTGTGACTTTCTGTTTTTGTTCCTTTTAGCCTGACTTTCTGAGGAGACAAGGTCTTTTCATTGTACTATCTTAGATTTCTCCCTTAATTTAGCAACCCATTAGATCATTTCAAACAGCTTAACAGCAAGTCTGAGGTAATTCATATTCTGCAAGTCTGATTAAAATAGCCATGCACATAAAGTATGTCTCTTACTTATCAAACTACAGTGGCTTGACTTTCCCCTTACTACAAAAGGTATCTTAAAGTTCAAGTCTGTGGGGGAAACTTTTTGCTTTCCTAACAACAAAAGCTAATGAACCCCTAGACACAAATGTGTAGGAAATCAGTCCTGATGGCCCTGTTTTATCTACTTTTCTTGGTAACAGAGGGTTTCCATTGACTTGAAGGCAGGGATGGAGGAAGAGATAGTATCTCCATTAGTCTTTAGCAATATTGAAACATACGTAGTGCATAGGTACATTTTTGCTTTGCACAAAACTGTTATAGTGTTAAACCAAAAAACTGTAGTTATTGCAGTTGTGGAAAAAATAGAGGATTCTGGACTAAAATGCAAAGGTGAAAGACTAATATTGGGAATATTTTGATTTAGATGATACTGCTGTCTTTAAAATATGATTATAATACAGCTGGACATACCAATAATAGTTTTAATCTGGTTGGTATAGTTAAAAGTAATGATGAAATGCACTGACAAAGACTTCCATGGTATCTGTGCAAGTCTCCTTGAACCTTGTGGGTATACTAGCGTTGCTGGCCTGTACTGAAGTCAGTGCTACCACGTTCACACTAGCTATGCCAGCCTCTCTGGACAGTTTGATTTCTGTTTTATGAGTAGATTCTTCCTAACTCAAATTATTAGATTTGAAGTAGTTGACAGCATGTGGCACCAGGGGGAGTAAATAGACTGTATTTTTGAAGTACTAGCGATTAGGACCTCACTTCATAGAAGTTTTTTAGCAGATTATTTTGTCAGAGTTTAGAGATATCGCCCCATTTCTAACAAGAAAATTCCAGGTGTTTGATAAATTACATTAAAAAATAAAACAGAATAACTAAATTTCATAAATAAAACACAGGAAGAACATGTCATCTATTGTCCTGTGTAAAGGGTTGTAGTGTTTTCTTGAAGTATTTCTGCATCCAAAACTTAAGCCAAAGCAAAAATGTTAATTCTCTGTGAATTCACATGTCATCTTGAGCAAGGCCCATTCTTACTTCATGAAAAATTAAAAATTTATACTGTAGCTTCACTGTAGTACTATCAAAACAAGCAGCATTTTTAAAAATGAAAATTTCTACCTCATACTCCTTTAAGGACAGTTAACAAAGAATAGCTAACTTAAAATGTTTTCTATAGAATACTAAGGTTAAGATGAATATCTTACAGTATATATGAAGATTGCATTGTTTATTCAGCGTCTATAATTTCATCTGAACTTGTTCAGTCCCTCTGGTCTCTTGCAGTATTCAGTACCTCTTTTATTTTTTTCCTTCTGTTGTGTTGTGTACATCTTGCTCTTTATTGTACCAGCACTGGCCACCTTAAGTTAATGTCTTAGATGGAAAAGGACTACTGTAAATGGGAGCGTTTTATACTGAGAGAGAGATTACTGGCATCTCTGCACGTTTTGGTTCTATAAAAGCTTCCAGTGTCTGGTCAGTATCACAGTGGGTATTGCCAGCCTGTCATCCGATACAGAAATTGTTTGTTACCGGGTAGTTTTGATTCTAATGTGTACTGTTCCATAATTAATTGGAATTGGCGAATCTATTTATAAACACTCATCTGGATATTCAACCAAATGACAGACTCAAGGTGTATGGATAATGAATGGAGTAACATTTTTTAAGACAGGCTGAAAACCAAGAACTCATAATAGCAAGGTACTTCTATCAGTTTCATCTCTCCATAAATACTGAGAATAAAATTGAAAATTTTTGTGTGCTGTGAACCAAACCTTAATTGTTAGTTCAATGACAAGTCTAATGTAGTTTATCTAACATAATGTAAGCAGAGGGATGGAGAACTTTGCACGCTTAGATATCATGTTTAAAAAACAGAGAAAAAAACCCGTAACCACTTTGATCATTATGCTGTTCTCTTTGCCATAGTTCCTCTGACTGATCTTGTGCAAAGTCACATTTGTAACACCTGAGTCACGGGAAGTCTGAAGGGTGGAAAAATCAACAGCAGTGGCTAAAGCTACTATCTCTTATAGCAGGGAAAAGTAAGACCTATGGTAAGGTCCAAAAGAAGTCTCTGAGGAAAACACAGAGCAGATTAGCAAGAATAGTCATCATGGAATCACAGATGAGCGGTATCAGAAAAGCACATAAATGACCCTGGAATATATAGGAAAAAACAAAAGTTAGTGTTGGATCTCTTAACTGAAGGTGGTTATGACTGGCAAGCAGCTGTGTAGGGCTGCAAATGTGTCATTCATCCTTGCAGATCGTAACACCTACTGACATAAGCATTTTTAATTGTCTGTCTGACTTCTGGGAGCGAAGTTAACATCTACCAGGTGCAACAAAGATACCGTGAAAAAAGCTGGTTTACTTCTATGTCTGTGACACAGAGTTTGAATCATTGTGGAAGACCCTGGGAAATGGTACTGCTTGTTGCAGCCTTTGGTAAAACAGTCTGCTGCAGAAAGTCTTTCGTGTATTTCTAGAGCATTCATTTAGCTGCATAACATCTGACTGATCAAGCAGCCCAGCATTGGTTCCTAACTTGTGCTTAGGCTGCTGTCACCCTTCCCTGCCAATTCTGCAAGCAGCATAACTTCAGTAAATTTGATCTGTCATTGTAGCAAGCCAACATAGTTAATTCAATGTTCAGAGGACAGGTGCAGACAGAAATAAAACAATATTTGTCCAGCTGAGTCTAGCGCAGCTTGAAATTACTATGCATGTAAGAACTAGTAAGGAAATTAAATAAGGGCTTCTGAAAAAAACACATTAGGTAAAATTGCTGTAATACAAAGTACATACTGAAGGAAATAGAGGGAGATACTTAAGAACTATTTCTTGGAATCCTCTTCCTGACTTAAGGGGAAAGGGGAGAGTACAGAAATCACAGTGGACACGTAGAACGTAGTATTGGATTCATTAAGTACTGAAAAATTTCTGAATGCAGAATGTGAAGGTGTTTTCATTGCGGTGTACAATCCTTTAAGAATTAATTTAATTATATTTACCAATTTCTTATTACTTTAAATATACTTAACAAGCGTCATAGCACTGAGCATAAGACTGGTGTTTGGCTAGAGTGAGAAACAAAAGCAACAGAAATAGCGTTTGCATAGTTTTTTTCATTGCCAGTTTTCAAGAGGTGTGAAGGGAGGGAAATTTAAATGTGCATTTGGAAGTTTCTTTAAAGATTGTGCCACTAAGTTAAACCTCAGGAGGCCTAATTGGCACGTTTGGTGCAACTGCACTGCTTGGATGGTCCGTTCTGCCTCACGCAGAAGTAGGCAGGTGTATCCGTGTGGCGTTTCCTTCTGCCGTGTGCTGCACGTGCTGTAGTACAACGCTGATCCCGTGGCAGTGCGTTGTAAGGGAGGTATAAAAGCAGTTCAGTGCTACTTAATCTGCCCTTCCTCCAGGTTACTAGTGTTTACGTCCATGTGAGATGTGAGAGCCCTAATATAACATTATTTAATAAAATAGTGAGTGTGGAAGGAGTTGTTTAATGTCCTACTTGACTAATGCTGTTCTCTGACTTTTCAAAGGGAAGTCACTCCACCAAAGTGGAAGCTGTGGTCCGAACGCTGAAGAGAATTCAATTTAAAGATCCAGGGGCTAAATCCTTAGTTTTCTCAACGGTATCAATCACCATTTTTTGTCTTGACTTTTTGTGTGTGTGTGAGTTTAAAGCGGTCATTCTGTTTTCTGGAATTAGTTTGGCTACCGAAATGTTGAATCACTCTGTACAGCCACTTGATTGTTTTGAGAATTTGTTGAGCAATTCATGTAACTGGGACATGAACAATGATCGTAGTCAACAGATGTAAAAGCTTGTTTCTTTAAAGGGCAAACACTTAGATTTATATGGGAGCATTAGAAATTCTCGATATTTTTAAATGTAACATCTAGATATTTTTGATACATTGTAAAACTGGTTTTATAATGGCTACCAATTTCTTTTATTCTAGGCGATCTTTTTAATTACATTTCTTATTTAGTTTTATGAAAGATTCGATTCCTGGCACACAAATAATTTTTCTTTTTCTTTTTTTTCCCCTTTTTTTAAATTGCAAATGCTAGTATTTTGAAAGGCCTTTTTGTCTACTTCTTAGGGAAGTTAATTAGTATATTTTTGTTGTCATTGCTTTTTTAAATGTTGAGTTACTTTTATTGTGTTGTGTGTTTACTTTTTTTTTCCAGTGGCAAGACGTGTTGGACATAATTTCAAAAGCTTTGTGTGACAACAACATGATTTTTTCTCAGATCAATGGAATTAGTAAATTTCAGGTACATAAATGATATTTTTCTTAAAATTACTTTCAGTGGGGAAAATTACAGTTCATAGAAGTTAATTTGATCCTTTTACTTCATTGCTTCATTTGAGAAACTGAAAGAGTAGCAAATGTGTTTGGCAGCAGCTTTGATCTCTAACTCATTAGTTCTAAAAATCATAATCACAAAAAGCCACAATTTAAAACCTTTGGAGAAGGCTTTAAAGCTTTTGAGAAAGAAGCATTGGCATGGATGTTAAGGATGAGACACACTGATCACTGTTATAAAAAGTTCTTACCTTCCTGTAATCTGTCAAGTATCTGTTCTGGGATGACAGGGATCAGTCGGGCTGCAAGACTGTCACTCTAGGGCTTGTAGTAGCTGCTATTTCTTGAAAATGCAGAGATGTCCCTCACTATTGAGGAACTTCTGTCACGCTACTGTGATGCTTGTCTTTCAGGAAAATCTCTCTGCATTTAAATACGATCCCAACATCAATATTTTGCTGTTGCCTCTTCACACTGGTTCCAATGGACTAAACATCATCGAAGCAACTCACGTTCTGCTTGTGGAACCCATTCTGAATCCTGCACATGAGCTACAGGCTATTGGCAGAGTGCATCGTATTGGCCAGACAAAGTAAGAGTGAAAATTGTGTTGAGTGGTTCGGATATTGTGGAGAATAGAACTGCACACTGTAATCAGAATAAATCTAGTTCACTGAACTTCTCCGTTTTGGATATGAGAGTGTTCATAGTAATACTATTTTTTAAAATTATCATATGAGGCACAGAAAGATGAAAATTAAAAAAAAGTTTCCTGAAAATACACAGTTTGTATTTTGTGCTACAGGGGTAAGACACAGAAGCAAATTGCATTTAGGAAGAGTGTAGGCTCTTGAATCTGAAATCCTGAAAACTTTGTTTGGCTGCTGCCCTATTTTATGTGTGCCACTGATGTCTTAGTTTTTAACGTTTTAAGTGCTGCTTGTACGCATGTCCAGAAATGTCTTAGCTTTGCAGGTCTGAATAACTCGCCATTTATGTCATCTGTGGCTGAGTTCAGGCACGACCCTTCCTGTTTTCCTTGAGAAAGCTGGTGATTCCCAGCTCCAGATTAGGAGCTGTGTAAATTGTTGTTGTTGGGGGGTGGGGGGAAGGTGTTGTTTGGTTTGTTATTTTTTTGTTCAAAAAGTAAATTTATAGCACACACTTTTTAGAACTGAATAGTTTTTATATAACAGTTCTGCCCTCACCCTTGTCTAGATCTTTTTGAAGACGTTAATGAGTTTGTGTCTCTTGTTTCAATGTTGTAGATTTCACATGGGTAGTACTGAACACTTGAAAAAGGTTTTGGAAAGTTTGTCCTGAACAGAAGAAATACATATGGTTTTACTTCAGTTTCATGTCACTTTAAAAATTAATGAAAAAAATCTGTACATGAAAA